CTGATGTTATGAAAAATGAATTCTTTGTTGTCGTGCCGACAACTCAGCAACTGCAGTCGGAAAAGACTATTAGCGAGAATCATTATCAATAGCAATATTTTCAAACTCTATTATAGCAATCAGGCTAGAATTTATTCAATAGATTTACTTCATTTGGTGGTAATTGATAAATAATCAAAATTTATCAATGTGCTTGCACACATTTCACTAACAATCAAGCAAAAGTGGTCCATTTACCACCTGACTTCGTCCAAATTAGGATTAAATTGATGATCAATTAATCTTAGATGGGGCAGTGTTGTATTTTGTGGCAGAGCAGCAGCAAAAGTGGCAAATAAATGGAGTAAAGACAGGAGATTAGTAGAATGAGCAGAAATGAGCTGAACCGCTACGGTTCGCAGCTAATGAGCATGCAGCTGGATTGCAAATGGCTGGATTTATAGTGTTGGTATAAAAATAAAACTGGCTGCAGTTTAAAGCTGTCATTCGCGCAGAGTCTGAAACTGCAGCATATTCAGCTTCATCCCTCTACAAATAAGAAAAGCATATCCAAGTCTCAGGTAATATCCCTCCTTGGGTTGTTTTATATTGACAGATACAGTTACTAGATTTTTAAAAATGGTATTGCATCAGGCTTTGTGAGAAATTGGAGAAATAGTTTATTTCTTTTAATACCGGTGTATGCTTTTATTAATCTGAAAATTCTTAATTTTTTTTTACAGCAAGTCTTAATGAAAGATGCATGGTAAATAGGAACAGAAATAAAAAAAAATTGAGTGAACTGTAGCTGAAACATCAATTGTGGATTTCTACAAAGAATGCAATATATGTATATAGGGCGTCAGACTTTTCTGAAATATGTCAGGTTAAAAAAAAATGTAACAATGACCTTGTTTACAACTGCATGAACTCTTGTTTCGGTTTTCATCTCTCTCAAATACATCTCAATATCCAGGTCTTCCCAAGTGGTACATTGGAAAGAATGAAGGTTGGTCACTTACCTTTTGAGTTTCAGAGGAGGAGGTAGTGACTTTTGTTAAAAAGTGTTGAACCAAAGCTCTAGTGATTTTCAAGGTCAGTCTAGTGCATTGATGAATGTGATGCTCTACACTATAACATGAAACGTTTGTCTCCTGAATGCTTTCTAGGGATACGGTATAGTGTGGAAATGGTTGATGGGGGAGTTGCATATGGGGAGGGGGAGAGAAATTAAAGCACCGTTGATGACTGATGCTTTGTACCAGTATTACATTGATTACTCACTCATACTTTTATTTTACAATGAATGTCATTATTTTATTTTCACTTAATGACCAAAATCTGTTGAAATGTTAAGAGATCGTATTTAGCCCAACCATGTTCCCTTTTAAAATATTTCTGATATTTGTATCTTATTTTTGTGTATAGAAAAAAAATAAAAGTACTGGTATTAACTCCACAAATGTGAAACTCTATATGGTTATTATTTTCTTTATGACTTATGTTATATGTTTGGAAGTATTTTGCCAGTATATTGAGACTTGTGATAACGTGATTACAAGCAAATGTGACTTCCCCCTGTTACCGCTATATCTGATTTCAGAAAGTGAATAGAGAGGATGATTATGCATTTTATAAATGAAGGCCAGGAATGAACATTATGCACCTAACCCAAACTAAGGAATATATTCTGGTTTAGAATTAAATGTATGATTCTAATGGAAAGAAAAAAATAAGTTGAAGATTTCAGGCTTCAATACTTCTAAAAATGCTATCTACATTTTCTGAATATAGGTATCATTGCCTGAGAGTAGACATTTTACTTGGAAACCAATAATTTATTAAGCACTTATTAAACTTTCTTATAAATTGAACTTGCATTTACAGCAACAAGATGTTTAAGTAACAAAAGTTTTTCTACGCTTGATTGGTTCAAAAATATTGGGGTGTTTCATGCTGAGCCTTCACTGAGAACAATGATGTAGAAGTGTTATAAGTTGTATTTGTGAAAATATATTGCAACTATAATGAAACATTGCATACTAATTAGTGATTATTCTGTCTTTACTTTAAAATACGTTAGAAATCTTAAGAAATATTTCTTGATACCTTACAAAATGGTGTAATTGTAGATGGACTGGTCTGAACTTCTTGGTCTAAAAGCTGAGCATAGTAAATCTTTAAGGATTTACATTTCATTTGTATGCATTTCCCTTTGTAGCTGCTTAACCTGATAGATACGATTGAGCCAGTCCAGGGACAAAACAAAAACATCTACAATTCAGTTTTGTCACTCAGTATGCAAAATGTACATCATTGCTACAAATATATTTCAGATAAATTGGGAAGGAAAATGTAAACATAAAAAAAATCTGCAGTTCACTTTTGCCATTGTGAGATATTGAGGATTTATTAGACAAAGTGATTGAGGTAGTGAATTAGGATTAGAGAATTGCAGGCTCTAATCCACTTTGAACCACAGAATTTTACTCAGTGACTTTAGACTTGCACACAGTTGATCTACTTCACGGGTGTGGAGGAAAAAGGTGGGAACACCTAGAACTTTTGAATGGAAGATGGCCCATAACTAAGGGAGAAATAAAGAATATTGAGACAGCAGGGGTAAAGACACAGAAGGTGGGGTTTTTTGGGGGGGAGAAATGTTCTTTTAGTAAAGGAACCAATATGCATAAACCATCTAAATGCAAACTATTTGAGCATAGAGTAAGTAACCCAGTCATTATTTAAAATAATTGACAATGACAATGCTGAAACATCAGTATCGGAAAGTAAAGTAAAACATTGATGGGTAAGTACTGTTAAACCATCAAGTGAGATTAAAGTTGCATTTTCAGTAAATCAGTAAAAAATTGTAGGTGTTGTTACAATTATAGCCATTTTTTGCTGTTCCTTGTACTGCCTCTTGTCCCCTATTTGCTTAGAAAGCATTAGTAACAAACAGTATTTTATGCTGTTCAAAAATGTTGTTAATGTGAACAATTTAATTTGCAACTCACAAACTTGTTGTGCTGACATGGTTATGCTGTAAGTACTCCATGCATATCTGTGAGTTAATAAAACTGTAAAGCTTAGCAGTTCTGCTGAACATGCTTGCAGCTAATCAAAATGCATGGAATACCTCCTGGCCCATTGTGCCCTGGGTAGCCAGGAATTGCAGTTTAAAAAACAGCCTTCCAAATAAATAAATTGATAGTAGAATATAAACTTAGTTTCATAATGAATAAAACTGAGGTTCATAAAATTACACCAAAGTTAATGTACTAGTTGATGAGCTAAGCAGATCTCTGAGCTAATTCCAGCACTTTCTGCATTATATTTATATGTTTATATGCATGGGCTTGGCAATTTATAGGTAACAGAATTTATCCAGAATACATCAAAGCCAACATAGAGATGGAATTGCTTCCAAACCTGTATAATTTGTGTTGTTCTTTGGTATGGCAGGACACTTAGGAAAATATACTTCCCCATTAAAATATCAGTTTAAATCAGTTATATGTACATGCTCATTAATAAATTGTTAAAGTAGAATCAAAGAACACTGTAGAATTAAAGGATACTTTTCTATACTGTAGTATGGAAAAGTTTTGTTTCATAGTTCCTGAAGAAATTATTTTAAAAGGCAGAAACTAGTTCCATGGTATTTATTCAACTGTATAGTTAAGTATAAATGAAACAGGAGGTTTTTTCACCAGCCAAGACCCTAAGCTAGTTTGGACCTGCAAAAATTAAACTAACACATTTTTGCTTTAATCTAGAAAGCATTTTTATCAAGGATTCAATGTAGATCTTCTCTTTTGATGATGGATTCATCATATTCTGAATCAGTAGCATAGGTGCCATATTTTGCATTTCTGATTTTATTTAAGAACTGTTCTAAAAATACATTTCAATTGTTTAGTTATTACATAAATAATACATGGATGCTAGCTAAGGTTAGCTAGCTAAGGAATGATTGGAGGTGACACTAAAAGTAATTGTTCTTCAGGATCCTTGCTGTCATCATCTGGGAAATCCAGGATCAATATCAGATCAGAAAGCTTATCCAGTCATTTCTTCTTTCAAGGGAACCTATAATATGTTTCTAGAATATATCAAATCCCAACCATTCAGTTTTATTTTATACCGACCATGAGGCGTTTTGTTCATCTGATTTATTTTCAATTGATTTGTCCTCATTCAGACATTCAAGTAGGCAAATCAAATTTAAACCTTTTTGGAATAGAGGATGCTGCATACTTTTTATTTTTGGCATGTATATGGACATTTTTCTTCCAATAAGAGTTTCAAAAGGCCTTTTCTTCCTGCCAGTCAATTGAATCTCATTTTCAGAAACCACCTGGACAAGTCCCTGTTGGCAAAGTTTTCCAGAAGTGGCTTGCCATTGGCTGCTTCCTAGGGCTGAGAGAAAATGATTAGCCCAAGGACACCCAGCTGCCTTTGCGCCTAAAGCAGAACTAGAACTCATGATCTCCCAGTTTCTAATCTGATTGGACTTTGCAACATGATAATCTATATTGACATTGGTAGAAAAATAGAACTGAAACAATACTTATATTAATGTAATTCAGAGTTAGACTATTTTTGTTCTGAACAACCAGAATATGAATTTTGATGTCTATTTAACAGATTTATAGGACCATCAAAGTCAAAGTGATTATGCATGAACAAACAATAAACAAAGTAAATCACCAGTGTTTAAAAAGAAGTTGCTCTTACATTTTTTCTGTATGGCATTTTTAGCAACTTCAATAAATTGTCTGCTAGGTTGTACATGAATTTTATTTTTATTCTAATGGATGGATTCCTTATTTATTAGATGTACATCTAGTTATTCTCCAGGACAGTCAGAATGCATCATCATAATAATAACATATTTGGAAAATAAAGTTAGTGGTACCCTAGTTGTAATATATGGACATTTTACGTCTTGAAACTTTTCAGATAGGAAAAATGTGTGTGTATTTATAATTTAAACAAATTATACTTTTTATGTGCAGCTTGGCAAAAGAAAAGGTTATGTATGAAAAAGAAGCAAAACAACAAGAAGAAAAGATTGAAAAGATGAAAGCTGAAGATGGAGATAACTATGCAATTAAAAAGCAGGTAAGGTTCATGAGTGAGTGGATACTTCTGGGTGGGGAAGGGAGGGAGGTATTTGTGAGACCCACTGGGAAACTGGCACTATTGAAAATGAAGATCACATGACCTCAGCAGCACTGAAGCAGCCACAACTTCCCCAAATGTCATTTCTGAGACAGTCATGGGTCCCAAATTATGTTGTAATTTGAGTACAGTTGTTTAACAACCACAATTGGGAGCTGCAGGTCTGTCACTAAGCAACGTGGTTCTTAAGGGAAACATTACATGATCTTAACAAGCTTACAATTTCATTCCATGATGGTCATTAACTAAATCACCTGCGGTTAAGCAAAACATCATATGACTCTGCTTTGCAATTTTACTTCTGGTTTCTTCATTAAGTCTGCTTGTCAGAAGTCAGTTGTGATGTATACAAATGGTGATCACCTCAGCATTGTGACCATGGCAACACTGTGACAGTCATAAGTGCAAGGACGGGTCATGAAGTTACTTTTTCAGTGCTTCGTACCATTGAACGGTTACTAAACAGTTACTTATCTATTAAGGACTAGCTGTAGTCCACTAGCTAATATGTATAATAAGGAATTGTTCTTACCAATAGTGGTCTATAGGAAGGGAAAAGCAACAATGAAAATTCCAAGTTAGAATTTCTATAATTGGAATATATCATTGGATATTCCTTAGTCCACTATGAACGTCGCAATAAGTGAAATATGTTAAGTTATCTATATGCCAACTTTATCTAGGAATCTTTTCATAGCTGTATACAGTTATTTATACTGAACCCTATTTATAGTTCTATAAATTACTGTTTCTGTTGGAATCTTCATGCTTAGTAGATTTACTAATTGATTTTCATTTGTAGCTATGGTATAGGCAGATCTTCTTTTACAGATCGTTTTAGTTGATAAATTTTGAGAGCTGAAAATATTCCATTTTTTAAAAAAGGATGGTGTTGTGGACAATTACAACATTGTTTTCTGGAGATGTATACAAGATGTTCAAATGCATTGGGTGCCAAATCAAGTAATTTCTCACAAAAAGCATGGTGAGAATAATCTTTCTCCTAAAACAAAACCCAAGGATGAGTAATAACTTTTTTATGCATGATAAGCATCAAAAATATGAGCCTGCGGGTCTTTGCTTTTCATTTTTCTTTACCTTTTTCTCAGTCAGAACCTCCTGCAGTGAGCATCCAATGTGATCAATAACTCAATAACTTTTTTCATGCAGTAATTATCTCTGTGTGGTATTATCTGAACACTGTTTTTATTTATTACCCAAAAGATGTAAGAGATATTTATATAACCAGCTGATCCCATTTTGGATGAAGCTGTTTCTAGCCGCAGGGGAAATAGTTTATATCAAATAGTATTTTAAATAACTATTTTATAGAAAGCTTTCTAATCATTTTTGCTTGAATATAGAAGTTATATTGAATACTCTTTCTTTAATAAAATGCTGTTTATGCGTATGAATATATACATCAGTGTAAAAGTTATCTCTTATTTGAAAAACTACTTTCACTTTTTAGACTGAGATTTTGCAAGAATCTCGAATGATGATTCCTGATTGCCAACGCCGACTAGAAGCTGCACATTCTGACCTTGTTCAACTATTAGTAAGTATGGAGGAAGAATTTTTATATAGGACTACCAGGTGAACTTAGATTAGTTTAAACATCTTCTGTTTTGATGTATCATTGTTAATGTGCATATCTCATTATCGCCAGCTCTTCAAAATAGATGCCTTTTAGGCACAATAAAAATACAAATATTTAAGAATAAAATTGGCAGTTTTACAGAAAAAGTATACTTTTTCAGACTTACGTTAAAATGGCCAATCCAAAATAGTCTTTCTCCCCCCAAAAAACTTCCCTCTGATTTTCAGTGATTTAAGAATTTCCATTACAATCAGTCAGTTAATGCTTAATGCAAAATTTTAATCAGATGTTTAAATTGAAATAGGGTTGATATAAAATATGTGAAATGCAGTGGGTGAAATATCAAAGTTGGCTTGAGGTAAACAGGTTAATAATCTAAGCCTAAGGATGGTGTGGAAATATAGTGGAGGTTGGAGAGAAAATTATTTATGGGTATTTGGATAAAAGAGAAACAAGAACATAGTCACATCAGTCACTGAACATAATTTTTTACCATTCTTAAATGTGAGCTTTAGACAACCCTGTATTTAAGTTAAACTTTAAAAGAAATAAATATTTGCAATACCAATTCTTCTGAAAATTGCCATAGGCCTACTTTTCAGAATGACTGCTCTAAAGTATTGGAAGCTATTAGATTCAATGTATTAACAAATACAGAGCCTGATTTGTATGTTTTCCCCTTCAAGACTATTTCAGAGTTGTAAGCTAAAGGAAATTTTCTAACCCAGCATTCACTGTTTATTAGAAGTTGTTAATAGCTTTAGGAAACATTTCTTTAGCTGTGGCCTAAAGGATCTTCATTTTTTTAATCTTTTCTGGAAGCTCTTTTCTGCAGCAATAGCACTCAGACGGTTTACAGAGTCAGCACCTTGTTTAGTATCCTGTTTTTGACAGCAGACAATCAGATGTTGCCAAACCCAGAGTAAACACAATGAAGTCCAGTCAAGGTTCAGTCCTTTATTTGCTTAAAGCAAATGGGCAGAAACTTGTCAAATGAAAGTTACAATCTTCTAACCTTCTAGATCCGTGATGGCAAACCTGTGACACGCGTGCCAAAGGTGGCACATAGAGCCCTCTCTGTGGGCTCACGTGCTGTTGCCAGCTGCTCTTCTGGTTTCTGCAACGCACATGCTCACCAGCCAGCTGGTCTTTGTGGGCGATGGAGCACTGGAAAATGGCCAAAAAACCAGGCCATTTTGGGGGCTCTTTTCAGGCCTTTTTCCAGGGCGTTTTCAGGCCATTTTTTGGGCCGAAAAACAGCCTGGAAATGACCCCAAAAATAGCCCCAAAATAGCCAGAACGACCCAAAAAATGGCATCAGCCAGCTGGTCTTTGGGTTTCCAGTGCATGTATGTTCCGGTTTGGGCACTCGGTGCTCAAAAGGTTCACCATCCCGTTACCCTGAAAATAAGACCCAATCGGAAAATAAGCCCTAGCATGATTTTTCAGGATGCTTGTAATTTAAACCCTACCCCCAAAATAAGTTCCAGTTAAGATCATCAACCAAGATGGATGCTGTACTGTACTGTATTCCCCCCAAAATAAGACCTAACTGGAAAATAAGCCCTAATGCATCTTTTGGAGCAAAAAATTATATAAGACCTGGTCTTATATCTTGGGGAAACACAAGTATCCTGAGAGATTCTAGGGTGGGGCTAATCTGAATCTCTTTTCCTATCCCCCATCCAGTTTGGGACTGTGTAGTCTCTTAATCCGGGTCTCTCTCTGGTAATCCCCCCCCCCCCCCCAGTGCGTCTTCAAGTGCACATTCCATCACAAATGCCTTTGGGAAACCTTCATGTAGGATATAATTGCTTTTTCCTGCTGCTTTTTCCCAAAAATTGATGTTCATAGATATGTTTGGCTATTGTTCAGGAGGCACTTTCATCACAGTTAATATAGTCCTTAATGGTATCTAATCTTGTTTTAGGTGTATTAGACTGATTAGCATCATCTTGTGGCAGTTTTAAATTCCACATATTTCATGTGAAAAAGGATTTCATTTTTGTCTTCTTACAATTGGATTTAAATCTCCAGATAAGTCTTACCAATTTAAAGATGGACTTTTGTGGAACACTGTCTGAAATTACCAGACAGTATTATTTTAAATTAACTATGACAAAGTCCACGTAACTTGTCCTAGCCAAATAATTCTATGATCCCATTGTTTATTATTCCTAATGCCACTAGTACTAACAACAACAATTTCAGCATTATATGTTTCTAAAGATTGGAGGCATACTTTTGAAAATATTTAGAAGTTTTTATTTATTTTCAGGAAAATGAAAAAGAGTTGGAAGAAACTGAAGAATATAAAGATGCACAATCAGTACTGGGATCAATTAAGTTAGAAGCCTAGACTGATTTTTCACTACGTAATGGATATGCTTCAATGTTGGGTCCGTTGCTATCTTTTACAGTTTGGTCATTGCTGTATATTTGTTCTAGTAGTAATAAGAATGATAGTGTACTAAAATTGTATCTTATGCCATAACAAATTATTTCGTTCTTTTAATTTTTTGAGGGCAGCATTGTATAATCATACGAGGTAAAATAAAAATTTAAAATCAAAACAAAAGAGCATTTTTCTAATTATTTTTAGCATAAATAATATAGCCAGGATTGAATCCTGCATTCTCTCCCCCAAATAAAGGGTACTGTTTCTGATTCTCATTTGCACATAATTTTCAGGAATTTACTAATATCCAGAATCCAAGGCTTTTATCCAGTGAAGCCAATGATGGGCAACATGCATCAGTAGCTTTCCCTCAGTGTAACTGGTAACAAGAAATACAGGTAGTCCTCGACTTACAACAGTTCAAAGTCACAACAGCACGAAAAAAGTGACATGACCATTTTTCACAGTTGCGGACATTGCAGCATCCCCCATGGTCATGTGATTTACATTTGGATGCTTGGCAACTGACTCCTATATATAACACTTGCTGTGTCCCAGGGTCATGGGATCCCCTTTTGCTACCTTCTGACAAACAAAATCAATGGGGAAACCAAATTCATTTAACAACTCTGTTACTAATTTAAGAACTGAAGTTGATTCACTTAGCAAATGTGGCGAGAAAAGTAAAATGGGGCAAAACTCAACAAATTTCTCACTTAGCAACATAAATTTTGGGCTCAATTGTGGTTGTAAGTTGAGGACTACCTATAGAAAGTTTGATTCAAAGCATGAGTGAGGGGAGATTAACGTTTCTTCTCAGCAATTACTGCAGTTGTGAAAATATGTGTGCTTGCATGTATTGGACTTTTATACTGCTGTTCTACACACTTGAGCAGCCTCCAAAGGATTTCACAACCAATATATTTCTCCTTTTGTGCCACAAACAACACGCTCATTTTTTCCAATGGCTTGCCGTAAGTATTACAGTACTCCAAGTACTAGGATGTCAAGTTTCTCTAATAAGGAGGAACAGAAATCTTTTAAATAACTTTGCACAAGCACAAGGAGCTTATTCTAATTATTTCTCCAAACTTAATTGCTGTTTGTCCAAAAGATCACTTTAAAAAAGAAAAGAAAAGAAAAAAACAACTATACTAGGATTATGAAGATTGGGTTGAAGACATATGATGAATGGTATTGGCAAATACTTCATTGTGGAACTCAGACATTACTATATTTCTCCCATATATATTGTAGAGATTTGTATGCCAACAGAAGATTAAAATTGTTTTGTTTCTCTGATGTTCAGAATTTAAATGAATATTCAAATATCTTAAAACTGAGAGTTCTATTAATATAAATTCATTCAGTTGCCATTCTCCCGAGTGCCCCAAATAACTTCCTTTTATATCATCTTAACACCTTTTATGTCATCTTAATACCTGTTGCAAAAAAGCCTTTTACACTGACTTCCTTGTTGGTTAGAATCCTGCATTATTAGCATCCTAGATAATGTGGAAAGAGCAGATATATAATTGTACATACAAAGGGTTTGCTTCCTGCATATATTAGTATTAAGTACAGTCATTTTTTCAGCAGGCTATCATGCTTTGAATAGCATCAGCAGAGGATTTGAGTATTGTGGATAACATAATACTTAATTATAGTTATAGTCTCAAAATATGTTGAAACAGTATTGCTTGCCCATAATATTGGACTGAAAAACTAAGATTGGAGAATATGTTGCAATGACAAAATTGACATATTGCAATAAAAGTTTAAATTCAAGTAGAAATTGCCTCCCTTATTTACAGTATATCAAAGTGAAAGACAAATTTAGATAGGAAATACGCTTCTCAGGACTCAACAACTACTAATGATTGATGCAAAGTTCAAATATGGTTAGGCGATGGGTATACAAATGGGAGGGAAATGGAAGGTATATCAATAAAACATAAATTACTTTTTGTTGTTTTACTATGTTTTTAATACAAATGTAATTGGTTTTCTTTTAAACATTCTTTGTATTTTAATATTTGTTTTTTCTACTTATTTTGTATTTCAGTATTTTAACAATAAACATATAGAAAAAATAAATAAAATGGTATGTATTCAATAGGGGGCAAACTTATATAGGAGATAATTTCACCCATCCTGGTCACCAATATCTGTCTTTTAAGCTGGAAATCTCACCTAGTTCCCTATCTGATTCTGCTTAGTACATACTACTTAGAAAAAGAAAATAATAAATCCACAAAGTAATTAAATATATAATTAAAGATTAAATCTCATAACATTCCAATTATCTATCTCAAAAACAAAATACTACAATAATATATTCATATTAACATCCACACAATAGTCAATTGAACTCTATACTTAAACTAAATATTTTAAACATTCCTTTTAGTATTTTATTAAACCTTTAATGTTTTAATCTTTACTCAAGTCTTATAAGATTCTAATTTTCTATTTCTAATACAAATACTACAATACTATCTTATGTACCTTGCAGAATCCTAAGACAAAGTTATATTACCCTTTATCCCTAAAAGAAAAATTTCTTTTGCACATCTTGTTTCATACCTTTATGGCCTTTTCCCCACTTCTTCCTCCCTATCTTATCCCATCTGGTCTTTTTACCCCCCTTAACTTCCCCTCTCTGTTGTATTTCTCTTTTCTTTTGCTTTTTAACATTGTATTGATTTTGCATCTTATTTTTCACTTTCTTGGATGTTTTTTTAAGTCTTGTGTCCTTTTTCCTTCTCTTTCTCCTTCCTTTCTTAATCAACTTTGTAGATTCATTAAAGATGGCTTCTTCTTCTTCTTCTTCTGCTTCCTCCATCAATTGTTGTGTTTTCTGATAAGTAGCAAGCGCCATTTCTAAAAAGCGAAAAATTTCTTTCACAGTATCTTTTCCTTCTTTCTTTATTTTGCCATATTCTTCTCTCAGTTCATCAACAGATAAAGTCATTATAAACCTTTTTTTCCCTTCTTTTTCTTCTTAAAACAACCAAGATAATTCAAAGCTTAAAACAATTCCCAAAGTCATCAAACAGTCCAAACAGAGCACAAAGTTCTTCCCTTCACACTTTTTCTTCCTGGGGTAATATCAATTGAAAAGGGAAAAAAACCCCAATCTGTATTTTAAAGTCTTATTGCAATTAACTTCCAATCTCAAAATCTTCCAGGCATCTCCTCCAACAAAATCTTAATATAAATTTTCCTTTTGTCCTCTCCCTTCCCACTTATAACAGAAAGCTTTAAATTTTTACTTTCTATAAAATAGCAGGATTTTCAATATCCATTTGTTAAATCCATGTGGAAGGAGAGTAAACTTTCTCTTTAAGCACTTTCACTCGCCGCTTGTAAATCTCTTCTGGAAACAAAGTATCTTTCAAAAAAATCAGGATTTTCAGGATATTAATTGTATCTTATAGTCCCAGTTCAGCCAAAAAACTTTCGCTTCAGAACTTTCTCCTTCTTCCTCCAGCACAATCTTATCCAGCTGTCAGCTTCTTTGTGGCGGCCATTGCTGACCGCTGCTCCACCGCCTTGAGAAAAGAGGGTTAAGCCGGGTGGGGAAGGGGTCTGCGAAAACCCCAACCCCCTGTCCGGATCCCTCCTATCTTCGGCTGCCTCTACGGGGCAGCCTTAGCCTCCAGACCCGTCCGGATCGGAGGCACCAAGACGGCTAGCGCCGCAGGGATCGCGCAGTATCGCGAATCCCTGCCGCTGCCGAAGCCGACAAACCGGTGTTAACTTAAATGTTAATTTAGGGGTGCGATGGAAAGGCATCATACTTCGATTAGTGATTTCAGGAGAAATCTTTTTTTTCTTCTTACTATAGGGAATGAGATAAATAGATAAGTGGAAAAGAATGGACAAAAGGTACAAATATAATGATTCAAATTAAGATGTAATAAATAAAATAGAATTAAGAGTGGAAAGGGGGGAGAAGTTATAATGAAGATATAGAATGGTAAACAAGATAGGTAATGGCATATAAGATGAATATGAATTTAATTGAAATCCATACAAAGAGAGGTAATCTGGGGCCAAGCTACTTTTTTGAAAAATAAGTTTTATTTTTTGTGTTTTGTGTGTGTATGTTTATTTGAGATTTAATAAAACCTTGGAGGAAAGCGAGAGGAGAATAATTGCAAACAAGACAGAGGGAAATATGAATAGGATGATTAAGTGCAAAGAGAAGTAATGAGAAATTTGCTAAAAGATATTTAAGTGGAAATGGGATATATTAGAATTGTATTGTATAAAACAATGTTTTATCTGCCTTGTAAAAATTTATAATGGAAAGAGGTTTAATGATGTTTTGTTTGTCTTTAAAAATTAATAAAATTTATTTCAAAAAAAAAATAAAAATAAGCTGGAAATCTGTTGTAAATGGTGTATCTCCAAAGGTCACAGAATACTAGTGGATTTAAAACATAAACTTCCTGAGCTCAAAGTGATAATGTTAAGTTTTCCCTTTCCCCCAACATAAAACCCAATGAAATTGAACACTGAAAGAATCAAGACAGACCAAAGAATATTTGTTTGCACAATTTGTAACAAAATTTTGGAATTTGCTACCATGAAGTATGCTGGTTACCAGCTTGGCTGATGTCAAAAGAAGGTTGGACCAATTCATAGAAATCATGGGGATCAGTGACTTAATAGCTTTGATGGCAGTGTGGTCGCTTTGGAAAGTCATCAGCTGGGAGACAAGTAGGCTTCCTTGTGCAGGTGGCTGGCCACTGTGTGAACAGGCTAATGGCCTAAATCAGCAGCCCCCAACCTTTTGGGCACCAGGGATGGGTTCCATGGAGAAAGGTTTTTTCCACAGACCAGAGTGAGCATGGTTTTGCATGCTGCCTACATCCCACGGATGGGGCTTCACTTGTTTGTGCAGCCCAGTTCTGGAATGCTGTAGGCTAGTGGTGGTCCACAGACTGGGGGTTAGGGACCCTTAGCCTAAATAGCTCAAAAGTTCCAGCATAGCACTGCTTATATTCTTATGTATAATAACATGGCCTCGGTAAAGTGATGTGCTAGAATGAAATCAAATCCTATTATTAAGATAGTGGAAGGGGAAATGCTATATCATTGTCTCAGCAGAACATAACTGGGGCTCCTTCAATATGACTGGTTTATTTTATTTATCACGTATAGAAACTGCCCATCTCCCTCACAGAGTGACTCTGATCTAACATGGATCTGGGATAGTGGAGTTTATATTCACAGGTATTCTACAAGATTTATCCAACCTTCAGTAGATCTCTTTACATCACCAGAAACCATAAGCTAAGCCAGATCCAGTTCCCTATGGAGGGATCCCCACCCTCAAATGTTATGAATATTACATCTCTTTAAATATATGAAACAAACTGGATGTATGAAAGGCTATCAAAATGGGCTTTAAAGAGGACCAAGGATTGATGCTAGTCAAGCAATCTTTCCTTTCCAACACACCTGCCTTGACAATTAGGGTCAATGATCACCATGCCAG